GCTAAGACACTGACGTGGCTAAGACACCAGTGTGGCTAAGACATTGGAACATTAAATATTTGCTATTGATTCCACTTGAGTATAGTTCATCTGCTCCGGTGTTTTAGCCACACTAGTGTCTTAGCCACGTCAGTGTCTTAGCCACGCCATCAGGATATACATTTGTACAATAAGCAGAATCAATAGCAAATATTTAATAACTCAATGTCTTAGCCACACTGGTGTCTTAGCCATGTCAGTGTCTTAGCCACGCCATCAGGATATACATTTGTACAATTACATTCCAATGCTTTAATACCTGATAATTGGCTACAATATTACAGCTAAGACTTTGAGGTAGAAAAGTGGTACTATAGGGCAATTCCAGCCTCACATTTGCAAGGTCTTATGCCTTAGTGGTATAGCGCGCTGCGGTTACTTTTGGGCCGCGGGTTCGATTCCCGCCTGTGCCATTTTTTGGGCTTTTCGGAAATTCTTCAGCGTGTCTTAGCCGCTCTTGGGCGCTTCTGGTGGCTAGTCCGGTGTAACTTAATAAGTTCCTGTGTCTGGGCCGCCGAACTGAATCAGCTCAAGGGACACCGGCCATGTCGACCAGCTTGATCACATGGACGTAGGCTATGCCAACTAGCATAGCCACCTGACAAGCATCAAATTCTGTCAACTGTCAGCCTTATACGGAGAGCAGACATATGTTCACTAAGTCGATGCCCGCGCAGCTCGCACAAGACTGCCGGGGCGGAGTGGGCGACGACGACAATTAGGTTTAAGATACAGCCTCACTGCCGGGTGCAGAAAAGATTCTGAAACGGTGATGGCATACATGTGCCAAGCTATGCCCTCGATGAGAGTGGGAAGGACCCTCTGCTGAGGGAGGCGTGTGCTTTGTCGAATGGCCAGATATCCTGATTCTGAAGAGGTCTTAACCTAACAGACTGATGCGCTGACAGCCTACAAGGTCCAGGCACGTTTTCACACAACTAGATCTCCCATGAGACGTATCCTAAGCATAAGAATAATCGCCTATAGTCCAAAGCAGAAATGGCGGTTAGTTCACCCGTGCAAGAGATGCTCATATTTCTCAACTCTTCGGCGACATCCCGCTCAAATGCTTCGCGATCTGTTACGGTAATCTAAAAGCAAGACCACCCGCTATATCTAGTCGGTTGCAACATCACCGTAGATGATTGGCCCAGTACAAACGAGGGAAACGACGTACCGGAGCAGGACCGAAGCCATCTCAACCAAGTATAAAGCTGAAATGGTAGTTTGTACATTGCCATATTCGGATGCCATGAAGTACGTCAGTGATCCGTCGGGTTCACTGCCGTGGCCGATGAAACCGTCGGAGGTCATGATAGCTCGGGAAACAAATTGCTGATATTTTTGTTAGTCGTTCAGACGAGGTTCAGACGCTTCCGAAGTGCTCACGGCAGTGATAGTGGCGAAGAGAGAGATATTGGCGACAATTACTAGAAGAATTGGCGTGTTCATCCTGGAGCCTCTTCGCTTGTGGTCTCCGCCGCCTACTAGGAAATACATTGACACGACGAAAAACATGACATACATGCCCAAGGATACGCTTTGCTCAGCATTTATTCGACTCTCAAGACTAGTCACTGACGTACCATAGATCAGTGACCCTAGCACCATCCTTAGAAGGGCAGCAGTGCTGGGCAAAAATTGAGCCATCGTGGAGGGCAAAAGACTTTGACAGAAAAATGAGAACATCAGACTCAACAGCACCGCCTTATATGCCTCGAAGGTACCTTGATGCTGTGATCAAGAAATCAATATCTGACATGGGAAAATTAAGCTTTAGGACAAGATGTCTCGACGATCCCGTAGAAGGTATCAATGTACCATGGATGCCGAGACCAATTTTGAACTTTCAGGTCAAAAATCACAAGGTCATGTAGCTGAAAACCACATGAACTCGGTGAGATACACTCATTTTTATCCTCAGTGACGTTTCTTAGCAATGGGATAAGACTCACGCAGCGCTGCTGGCTGTCATCACCGCAGGTCTCTAACTGATGCACGTGAAACCTACGAAGAACTGGTGGAGCAGCAAGTGGTGTGCTGTCAGAACTGTGTAGATATCAAGGCAAGTGTGAAAATTTTTACGTACACAGCGCTGTGCTCTCGAAGAGAGTGGCCAGGAAACAGTGGGAATACCTATATTAACCGACCGAAACGCACACCGACTTGACGTTTCCCATGACACGGTCCAAATGCAAGCATGATTCAGAAAGCACCGATTGTCAACGATAGTCGGCTTTATCCCGATAGCTGAACTTCTCAACAGCTATCAGCGATAAGTCGCTCCAAAACCGGACTGCCGGCTGGGACCTCGTTAGTGAACGGTACAGTGCAGACAGGGGGCAAAGACGTACTAGATGTAGGTGAGAAACAATGGACTGCGTTTCGGGCGACTGCGGACACAGCGCATGCATTTATGTCACAATGCAGAACCTGAAAGCCTCCGAGTCGCTAGCGCATGCTGGCCATGCCAGAACACACATAAGCCGGCGCACATGAGTTGGATGCGTCCGCGCGACCTTTGCGCTGCCTCTCGCCTGCGGCATCTTCCAAAATCTGAAGAATATGACGATGAGTGTGAAGCTCCGAAAGGCTCGGACAATGTATTGTTCCGTCGCTGCGGTTGCGCGATAGACTCTCCGCTTTGGGGAGGTCGGGCGTGGGATTAATTCACCAACGTACTAATCAACCTGTGTAGTCGCCGAGACACCGAACTCGACCATCACAATTATGTAGCGTTCAACGTTCATATACATATGGGAACACCGCGAAGAACCTGCTCTAGTCGCGCGATTTCTGCCAACGCACGCTGGCCACCGCCAGAATGCATGCAAATCGATGTTCACAAGCTGCGTCCGTGCGTTTGCGCTGCTTGTCGCCCGCGGCGGCCCCTTCCGGGAACTGATACGTGCGGCGGTGGGTGTGAAGCTCTGGGAAGGTCGGGACAATTAATAATCGGGTGTCTGGGTGGAGTCAGGGTGCCGGGCGAGCACCGAACTCAACCCCCAGTCCTTGACCACTGGCTCTGCGACGGCAGCAACATGATTGGCGTCTGTGCCACGCGAAGACTTCGGATCGACGGTCGGTGTGGGGCGTTCAGAGGGTCCCGGGGTCGGGGTTTCTGTGCCGTCTATGTTGCCGGCGCTCTCCGCACCTTCCGTGTTAGGTCAGACGTGACGTCTTGTAACGCGCGCGTCAGACTGGTGTGTTACATCTCGTGACAGAACGTCACGACTAAAGTCCCGCTTCGCTCATGCGTCTTGTCCATATCATGAGCCGCTCGTGACGCGCCTCATGACAAGCTCGTCACTGCTGCACAGGTATTGCAGGAAGGGCGGTTGACGGACGCGCATTCGAGATCACCAGCCGCATATCATGCGCTGCTCCCTGGGCTGGATGCATAGCAGTTTTAAGACTTTGGCGAGTCATGCCTCCGCCGATCCTTTATCTATTATTCTGACTTGCTATGCATTATAGGTTTATCTCTTGTGTCTATCCCCTAACGCAGCATATCCCCTAATGCAGCAGAATGAATCTAGCATAGCATACACTAGCATGTACTATACAACTGTGCTTAATATTTTTTCCATGAATCTATTCCCTATGAACAAGTGTGCAAAGCCTGAGAGGCCGTCTGCTGGTATCTACAGGTGAGCTGCGGTATCGCCACAGTGTGCTGCTGAATTCATGCGGGCTGCCACGGCATGCTGCTGAACTTATGCAGGCTGCCACGGGTGCTACGGAGACATGGCGGGAGACTACTGGTCGAGGATAAGTTAATAGAGGTCAGCTCCACCAGGCTGCTGGAACTATGGAGCTCACGGGGCGCTTCTGGTCTCAGACTTTTTTTCCTGATGTCGTGGCACTGCATGGTTATAGAATTCTCAAATCCTCTCGTGCTGCCTCTATTGCAATTTACAGATCCTAGGCCTGAACACGGTCGGAAAGACTGGTATGAAGAGAGCGAAGCGCCTGGGGTGTCTTTGGGCCGAGATCAATGTCGCCTATCCTGACAGTCCCAGACTGGGTTGTCGCATTGATGACCACGGGCATCACAGGGGTAGCTGAGTGCGAGGACCGCAACGGAGGAAGATATATGGAGGACAGCATTGGCCTCTTGGTTTTGAAAGCCCCACGGAGTCCGAAATGGGCGATGATAAGGCAGTAAGCGATTCCAATGAGCGGGGATGCCTGTGAGTCTGGATGAGTTAACGCAAGTTGCTGTAATTTATCGGAAACGCACAATGCCCAGGCAAGTAAACGCTGCATATGAGTGAGTGAAGTAGGTGATCACGAGCATTACACTCGCCGCACTAGTGTAAACCGTATCATGAGCCTGTGGCCGTAGACATGAATAATGAAGGCGCACGTAAACAGCAAAGCGCTCTCAATGATAACAGCCATGACTTTCTGCAGTGTGCCTAGTCAGCCCATGAGTTAGAGGGGCTGGGTCGTACGCACCGAAGCCACTGTAGAGCGTAAGTGTATCACCTGAGCACACCTCACTTCTCGCTGCGTACTCCAAATTTTGTAAGATAATAGCGCTATGGGTAATTGAGCATCTTTCAATTTATCCTTCATCAAGAAGACGTACTTGAGCAGTATATATTTGTGCTATATCATATTGGCATTAAATAAATCACTGCTGAGGAATTGATCCTATGGGACATACGCAGCATTGCACGCTAGACAAGAGGGATCCCAAGCTACTATGAATTCGTTAACCACTGCTGAATCATTCATTACATACTGAGCGGAATCATACCACGGAAGGAGAGGGCAAAGTTCCTATTTGCGGCAGTCTGATAGATATAGATCACTCCAGAGACTGGAGCACTGTGAGTTCCCGGATGGAGGACAAATAGATTTGACATACATAAAGTACCGAGATATGTGCAAACTGGGAGCATCAGAATCAGCCACTTACGCCGCCATACAATCCAGAGCCGATATACCTGTGTTTGGAGGTGAGCTCCCCACAGAAACCTGTCAACATGAAGGAGCACACCATTATGAAGTCTGCAATAGCTACTTGGACTAAGTATAGGGCTAGAACAGCCGTAGTTAGACTGTTATCCAACGATGATATGAAGTATGTTAGAGGTCCGTCGGAGTCACTGGCGTGACCAATAAACCCTCTGAATGTTTTGACAGTTCCAATTGCCCATTGCTAATGTTTTGAGTTACATCAGTCCAGACAATATGTATACATTCCTGCGGTGCTTACAGCAGTGATAGAGGAAAATAGAAGGACGTTACCAAGAGTAATTAGGAACATTGATACGTATGTCCTATTACCTCTTCGTTTCTGGTCCCCGTCGCCTATCAAAAAATAGATCGAGAGGGCGAAGAGCGCGATATATATGCCTAATCAGGCTCTACGCTCAGCCTCCCCTCACTTTCCAATAGAATTTAGGAGCAGCTAACGCACCATATAGCAGGGTCCCCGATACCGTTCCGACGAGGACAGCAGTAGTGGGTCGAAGCTGGACCATTGTCGAGAGAGAATGTCCAAGGTGATAGAAACGACTGCATCGTGCGAGCCCGCTGTGCCATCTTATATGCTAATGGAGTACCCTGAGTACTGATGTCAGTGATTCGCATCCTGCTCGGGAAGAAGCTGTGCTTTAAGATGTACCGGCTTAAATTATGCTGCGGACAAGTGATTACAACAACGAATAACTACTAACCATAACGGGGCCGTGGGGCTTACAATCGCACTGTCATTGCCGTCGGAGCATCGGAATGCGCTCATCTCAGCTTCTGATCAGCTATGACCTCTTGATGACGGTATAATTTTTGCATCTTCGGGCCAAGAGGACTCGGTAACTGCCACGAAGGGTACTATGGAAGGGGGTTTGGAGGCTCTCACGCACCATTCGCGCGGGGAAAATGATTATCAGACAGAATGATCATCAAACAATAGGCCATGCCAACCGATGCTGCTATCCAGAAAGCATGATGCGTTAGTTACCATCGGCTGTAGACTTTGTGCAAGGGGTTGACATGAACCTACTAAGCTGACGTATATGGGAACCCGCCGAGGACTCCGACTTGCTGAAGTAAGAGATCGCGATCACACTAAGCCACAGCCACATAAAGATCAAGAGACGTGGATCTTTGCGTGTACAGGGCTGCGCTTTTGATTAGGCTAGTTGAGAGAGTGAGCACCCAAAGCTGAGAGAAGTTTTTACCCTGGCAAACGAGGGCCCGCAATGCATCGTCGTCCACCCGGGCGCGCGTTTGCCACATGGGGGCATTCCGATCGCAAGCATAATTCAAAAAGTCTAATGCGCAAGCGGGGGCCAGCTTACTTGGATATCCCTGGATATATGTCTAGTATTACTCCACTTATCAGCGACTCGATATGCCACTCCAAAATCTGGTAATAAGGATCCGTAAATAAACGGTGTGCTGCGAGCAGAAGGAGGTGGCGCACCGGATCTAAGCTAGAAGATAGTCACACCCATTGCTAATATTCTGCGTTAGTCCAGGTAATGTGCACACATTACTGCGGTGCTTACGGCAGTGATAGTGGCAAATGGAAGGATGTTACAAATAGTAGGTAAAGGCGTTGACATGTCCGCCCCGGTACCCTTTCGCTTTCGGTCTCCGTCGCATAACAGAAAACAGATCGAAAGGACGAAGAGCACGATATAAGTTATAAGCCTAAGCATACACTGCACTTAGCTTTCTCTCACTTTTCAAAAGGAGTAACTGACGTCGCACCATATAGTAGAGTCCCCAACACCATTCCGACAAAAACAGCGGTAGTGCGTTGACGTTGAGCCATTGTCGTGAGAAAGGTCTTAGGGTAAGAAAATTTTTGCGTCTTACAGGTCCATTGCGTCGTCTTATATGTTGCTACAGGGCGCCCTGATGCTGATATCAGTGATTTCTATCCTTATGGCGGTCAGTTCGCAGCAGAAGGCAGGCGCACCGGATCTAAGTTAGAGGATGTGAACAGGCTGTTTGGGTGGCCGTGGAGTAGCTGCAGAGTTGCTTTCAGCCAGAAACATTCAACACCTCTGGCGCGACTGTCGCATCCTCCATGCTCGCTATGCTTTAACACCGGACTTGAAGGTTCCGCGAATATCATGAAGAGCCTGCTGACACGCGCCGGAACGCACGCGGGTCGGCTCTCGCTAGATTGAAATCGGCGCGTGTATTGCCCGATAACGATAGCTTCTTCTACAAGCTGATGAGCGGTGTTCTGCCGGCTTTAGTACGAACGTCTTGCCACTATGAAGGTGTCTGTCAGAGCTTATTACGATTTCGCAACTCACGACGCGGAAAATGCATAGGCGCCTGGTGATAACATGTAATAACGCGTAATAACGAGTGGTAACACGGTATCAGCATACAGGATTATACAAACCTGTAAACTTGTTCTGCTCGGACACCTTCATCCATGAATATTGGCCTTTTATAACAGGATAATGCACTGACAAGACCGATCTGCAGACATCTTGCAAACGGGCGGCATCTCTGACTTGAGTATGGAGCGCATGGCGAACCTGAGCTACAAGCTCAATATAGTATGCAGCTCGGATATTATCAACGGGATGAAGTGAGCCTGTAGAGTTAATGGTCGGGTTGGGCGGCACACAAAGAGCCAGCCTCTACACAGGCAGCTACGAGACAAGCAGGGCTTTCAATGGGCCGGGATGACCCTGTTGCCTGCAGCAGGCACAGAGAGCTGCGCACACGGTGGGCAATAAGACCAACCTGACTATGGAAGGGGAGCATTGACAGTCTGGTCATTGATTACTGGTTTTGAGGTGAATCCACACGTTATTACGCGTTATCGCATGTTCTATGCCGGGATAAACCGAGATCAGGTGGTGTTGGGAGAGGCTGTGCTGCGTGATAACGTGTTATCACGCATGAAAACACGAATAAACGCGCAATAACCCTGCGAAAAAATGTGCATGCTGCGAATGCAGAATAGATTCCTTCATGCGCTTTCAGATGCCACACTTTCAGCCCTCACACTGACATTAAGAATTACATGGTGTGCAACCGCGTTGATTGAGTTGCAGTCGCTTACCCATGCAAGCACAAAAACACTCCTGCGAGATTGATCACACCTTCTTTGCATGGATCGGCTCAGATATTGGCTCGGGAATCCCAAGACCGCGGAGGTAGCATACCAGATTAATCTTCTGTGTGATGTCTGCTACAGCTTCCAACAAGTCTGTTTGCTAATGGCACAGATCCAGTCCCGGCTCTGACAGGCTTGGATTAGTCTACGGCTGAGAGAGGGGGAGGATGCTGTTTTGAGTCAGAGCGTGCGGAGAATAGGATCGATCACGTTTGGACCGAAGGAAACGAAGTGTACCAGCCTTAGATATCTCTGTGGCAGACTCGATATTGTCCATCCCGACTGCTCCCGACTGGCGCATCATATCAATGACCATCGGCATCGCGACGGAAGCTGAGCGTGAGGACTGCAATGGAGGAAGATATATAGAGGACAGTGCCGGTCTTCCAGTCCTGAAGGCTCCGTTCAGGCCGAAACGGACAATGATGAGGCAATAGGAAATGCCAATGAACGGAACAGCCTCTTGGCGAGTCAGCGATGTCATTGCAGGGTAGAATATTGGAGACATACAATGCCCATGCAGGCGAACACCGCAAACGAGTGGGTGAAGTAGCTGATCGTGATTATTGTACTTTGAGCACTGACACGAGTCGCGTCATGAGTCTGCAAGCGTAGACACGAACAGCAGGGACGTACGTAAACAGCAAAGCACTTTCGATGATTATAGTCGCAATTCTCTGAAATGCTCGGTCAGCTCGAAACCTAGGAGGCTAAGTGATGCATACCGAGGTTACTGTGGACCGCAGGTACGTCGTCTGAGCGCGCCTCAGTTCTCGCTGCGCCCTCAAGACTTTGTACGACAATAGTCCTACTGCCAAGTAAGTAGATTCCAGTTTTGAATACAGCATGACGCACCCGAGCAATATATATTTGTGCTGGTACCACACCACGTCAGTGCTGAGTGAATACCCCCCGAAAGTATCAAATTTGATATGACTTACGCAGTAGAGCATGTCAGACAAGAGGCAATCCAAGGCTCTGCGCATTCATCAGCCACAATTCACTTGTCTGCTGCTGTGCATTATTTAGAACCGTACCACAGGGAGGCTCGAAGAAGTTTTCATCTGGGGTTAACTTGTGCATTCGGTAGACAAAGACCGCTCCGCTAACTGAATACTGATGAGTCTGGCGTGCATAACTGACAAATCAGTTTGGCGTACTCAGAGTGCCGAGATGCGTGCAGACAGGGAACGCCACAGTCCACCACTTGCGCTGCCACACTATCCACAGTCGGTACATCTGTGCGGAGACATGAGACTACTACAAAGGCTGTCAACATAGGGAGGAGGCATACTATTATGTAATTGGCCACAGCTGCTTCGACAACGCATAGAGCCATGACAGCAGTAGTTGTGCCGTCATTGAACGAGCTGAAGTATAGGAGTGGTCCGTCAGGCTCACCACCGCGACCGATGAAACCTGTGAAACTCCGGACATTGATGATAATCCATTCCTAACGTTGCACATAAGTCCGAGCAAAGTAGAGACTTTATTGTGCCGCTTACAGCAGTGATGGTGGCGAACAGAAGGATATTCCCCGAAGTAACCAAGATTATCGACTTGCTCATCCCGGTGTCCCTGCGCTTCCGGCCTCCGTCGCTTACTAGGAAATACATGGAGAGAATGAACAGTACGATATACACGCCTAAGCACATCTTGTGTTTAGTGCTCGCCCAACTCCCAATAGGGGCCACTGACGAACCGTAAAATAGAGTCTCCAACACCAGTCCAAGAAGGTAAGCGGTGGTAGGGAGGATTGGGGCCATTGTCGAGGGCAGGAGGCTTGTCGCAGAAAAATGGACGCGTCTTACTTCGCAGCAACCCCTTATACGCCACAGCAGTGCTAGTGGTGCCTCAGCTCGGGTTGTTGGCTGCTAGCCGGCCGCGCCAAGCTGCTGTTCGACCGGGCCGTAATCATTATCAGCTTAGCCCTTGAGCCATGCCTAGCAACGGCACAGCCCAAATCGAAGATTAATGAGATCGAGTACTGACAGCCCAGTGATCGCAGTACTTGCGTCATAGTGCGCTCTCTGTTGCCTTCTTAGCAGCGATTAGCTTACCTGTATAATGAATGCTTGTATTCCTCGACTCGTCGACGACATTTTGCTCCAGATGCCTTGCTGTCTGTGTCACGGAAATTTCGAAACAAGGTCACCTGCTATATCTGGTCGGCCGAGTCATCGCAGATAATCGACCGGTGCAAACGAGACGCTGAATGTTAGAATCATGCTTCAAAGGCCCAGGAAACGCCACAAAAATTCGCCTACAGCTGTTCGTACAGCCTCCGTCAGAGCGTTCTGAGCGTGACGGATATGCATCAAAACGCACCCGAGTTGGCGGTCACGAGTCGCGTGAGTGCGTTCGCGCCGCCTACCCACAGCAGCTTCCGCCAGAATCCAGTCCTGAGTGCAACGGTAAGTGAGTCTCTAACTGGAGCTGATGCGCTGATGTTCCAGCTCCTCTGATTTTTTCTGCTACTTCGCTCGGCGCATTGCGCAGCAGACGCCTAATTGTCACACCCGGTACCTGTTGGTGTCATGACAGCCACTCTGCATCCTGCTCTAGACCTAAGTCGAAGCATCAATGTTGCATCAATCGCTGTGCTAGCAGAAATTTCAAGGTGGCCCGTCGATTTGCAAGGAGCTGTCATACGCCTGACAATCGTTGATTTCGTAATTTAGAACTCAGCCAATGAGAGAGCGGCATGCCGAGGCTGCCGCATTGTTTTCCGCTAAGTTAGACGTCCATATAATGGGCAATTTGCAGATAAGATTGCATCGAGGAATTACCGCAGCTGTGTTGGCCTGCTCCAGCTCATACTTCTCGCACATCAATGAAAGAAAGGCCATAGACGCAATTGCTCACAGGCAGCGTTTCCCGTATCGTAGCCCCTCAGCAAGATGTCCGTATTTCCGAGGTATAAGCATCGCATTTGCGTAGTCTAGCCTCAATCGGCGATCGCCACAAGAACTTTCCTGCAGCAGTGTTCAAATACCTCCCATGACATGTCTAGTAACAGCCCCTCCAACGTTATGAGCGTTGCGAAATCTGAGGCATGAGGCCTGCGTTCCCATGCCCGCCCAGAATGGCCGCGACCAAACGACGCAATACGTAATGTGTTGTATGGCGGGCTATTTCGGATCTCCGAGCTGTCTTTGCTGGGCGTGTCTCAACATTCCCCGAGCGCATCCCAATCCATCGTCTTCAGGTGAGCTGTCAGCTCGTTAAATATCGTATCCAGGCTTAAATACCTCGCGCCAGTGTATATGTCGCCTTACATGAAAGCCAAACGAGAAACAAGGGCACTGATAGAATCAACTCGCGACACCAAGTGGTACCTGCCAGACGGTGATGTTGTGCTCTGTGCCTCAGATGCGCAGCCCAGGGTTCGCATCTTCCGCGTTCACCAACTCATTCTTGCCCAACACTCCGCTATTTTTGCGAGCCTGTTTACTCTGCCCGCAAATAGCTCGACGAACGAAAGCTATGATGGAGCACCCTTGGTCGAGATGCAAGACGACGCAGACGAACTGGGGGAGTTGGTCGGTGCATTATATGATCCCGAGTAAGCTGGCCATGGTTTATTCTGTGCTGTGGACGTGGCTCAACTCTGTGACCATGTGCCAGATTGCCTTCCATGCGCTTTCTGGACCCGCGAAACCCGGAGCGAGTGCGTGGTGTCATGAAGCTCGCCAGGAAATACGAGGTTGACTCCGTCTGCGCACGAATCATTCGGCGGCTGGAAGCGGACTGGCCTCAGGATGCTGTAGAGTGGCTCCGCGTTTCCGCCGACATCAATAAGCGCGTCGAGCTCAGCGGGATGTTCTCCGGCTCGGCACCAGGCGCGGAGGACAGCGAAGCCCTCATTCCCGAACCAGCATCCGCCATCTGCTTCGCCCGGGAGTTCGACGTCCCGTCTATCCTGCCGGCGGCGTTCTACATGCTGGCCTTGACTGATGTGCAGCGGGACTGGGACAACGTCGAGCACCGACCATCTGGCGCTGCGCGTTGGTCGCTACTGGACCAGCAAGACATGCTACGACTCTTCCGCGGCAAAGCCAGTCTACGCGATGCAATCAGCAACATGATAAGCGCGCCATTCCCAGGGGAATCGTACTGCGCCGTCTGCGTTGATTGTCGGCTTCCTTACGACTTCAGCGAGAAGTGGTCCAACTATCTGTCGTCCAGTGGGTTTGCTGGTGGGGCAGCGTTGACGGATAGACCGGACATCATTGGGATTCTGTTTTCTTTTCTTGAACTCCTTAACAAACCAAATTCGGAGTTCAGCGGCATGTGCTCGCGACATAAGGGTCTGTATAAGCCTTTCTTCTCTAGCAAGATACGATATGAGTGGACTCGTCTCGCAGAGATGTTCCAGTTGTAGACTGGTAGCGTTCAGTTCATCATGATATCTGAGGCTAAAGTAAATTCGCTTGGCTCAATCTCGGGCTTCGTATATAGAGTCATTGTACGCACTACTACAATTAACTCGCGTACATTTGCTATTGATCGCAAGCGGCGAAGCTTCCTCTCTAAGCAAGTCGATATCTATATTCAGAAATATAAGGTTCACATGTCAGATTAGATGAATTCTTGTGAACACCGACATGCCGAGACAAGGTGATAGAATCATGCACGCAAGGCCGAGGATGTCAATAGACTCGCAGACAATCGTAATGCGGCCATATACTAAGACAGTGCGGGTGCAATTCTTCTGTCTCACTTCAGGGCCAGGCGATGATACCTTCCACTTCTCATACACTGAAGGTCAAATGAGTCGCTGAAAACATAATGACCTCACCACAGCGCCGAAATCTTCAACGTGGGAATAAAATGGTCAGGCTGGATGAAAGACAGTAACATGTTACAGAGTGTGGAGATTTGGGACGTAGTAGTGTACAAACGAAACACTGAGTCGAGGTGAGATAGGCGACCGAAAACAGTCCAATTATACACGATGAGCAAAGACAAAACACGGGACAGCACCTGGATCCTAGTTCACAGGTTATTCATGCTTCCAAAAACTCCTTGTTCATGTCCGCGAAGGCGGCAGCCCCGACGCCGAGGAGGCCGAGCTGCACGACGCAAGCCGCGGTCTGGCGGTACAGCGTCTCAAGAGCCGGGTGGGCAGGCTTGCCTTGCGATTCTGCGACAGAATGGTCAGCACCCGGTCGGATTCATGAGACGGATAACTAACCGAGGACAGCCTGGTTCAGCTCGTTAGCGAGGCGTGCCCTCGCCTCCTGTCCCGCCATCTCGGCCACCTCCCCTCCCGCAGCGAGGGGGTCCGCAAATGCGACGACGCCAAACGTGCGCTTCAGATGGCTGCGCACCTCGGGGCGGAGGTCATTCCGGTAGTCCGCCTCGAGCTTCTGGCCGTACGAAATGGCCGTCTCGAGCGCCGCGCGCGCCTGGGCGGCAGATGCGGGGGCGGGCGAGCCCGAGGGCGCTCCGCGCGGAGTCATAGTCGAGGGGTGGTGGTTGGAGTCCCTGGCGGCAGGCGGGACAGAACCATCCAGGGACGAGATGGACGCGGGATGGGCCTCAAGCGACGGTTCGTCCACGTCCATCGCGCCCAATCCATCCATCGTATCCGGCGTGGGCTGTGCAAGCTTCTCAGGCTGTATCCCGCTCTTCTCTTCCGCTTGGACACGCTTGAGGGCATCGCTCGCCTCTAAGATGAGCTCGACAAACTTGCGGCAGCGGAGCTTGAAAAGCATGAGACCCTGCTCGCGTTCTAGAACGACGGGGTGGTGCTCCTGAGTCTGGGCAATAGCAGTGTCGATATCGCCCTTCAGGATAGCGTTGACAATGTCGATACGAGCGCGAAGATCTAATTCGGCGTCCAGTCCAGAGGAAGAGGTAGATGCCCGAGGACCCTCATCCAAGTCCATCCCGTTATCAGCGAATTCAGCGAACTCACGCCTGCCCTCGCACTGCGCCTGGAACGCTCTTGCTGTCCTAGCGTATCCATGGTGGGCAAGATACGCCAAAACAAGCTTCCGCAGCGGTGCCTTCATCTGCTCTTCCTCGAGAGCACCACCTTTCGGTACACCACCTTTGACAGCTTCGGATTTCTCATCGGCGGTGTCTTCTTTGCGTTCCTTGCCGTACAACAGGTCCCAGTCGATCGGAGTAGATTGAACGTTCGCCCAAACAGCATTGCGCTGAGCATGGACATGGTCTTCGATGGCATACTTGAATGACGCGTGTCCGAAGTTGACGCGGATAGACTCCGACGTGTGTCGCAGACCGACGGAAGGGTAGATATCGATACCCTTGCCTACGTTCTCAAAGACCATTCCTGTAGGAGATTGGTAAGGAGTTACTTGCGGAGAAGTAAGGCACGCACCGAGGAAAGCTCCATTCTTTGTGTAGAACGCACGGTGCTGCGTGAAATCGATGCCGCATCCAATGATGTCCCCAGCTAGGAGGCGAAGTTAAGGTCCATACCCTAGTAGCTGTCAGGCTGCTGGACTCACTGTCGAACGTGGGTCCGTAGGAATTGCCGTCTTTGTGCCCAGGGAACGACCATCCATCATCGGCATGATAGCCCCAAGACTGCTTCTCCCAGCCAGGGAGACGAGAGAGACGCACATCCGGAGACGAGAACCTAGAGGCAGATGAGCATGGCATGAAGAACTGGGTGGATAGCGACCCTACCCAATGCTAATATGACTGAGGCAAAGTCAGACATGCCTGTCTGGTATTGGCGTAGGCACTCACCCCTTCGCACCCTTCTGCAGGATCTCGACTTCATAGTAGTAAATACCACAGGCCGGAGGGATGGGATGGTTCGCACGTGCAGCGGCAGAGTCACGATCTCCGCTGCAGGATTGGCCTACGTACAGTTAGCGTTACTCAGATAATATGGCAAGTCTACGTACCATAGAATGTCAGCTCCCTGCCGTCGCCCGAGACAGTCAGCAAATGGTGCCTGTCCTGCTCACTCCACCGCGTCGGCAAGCGCAGTGCCGGGTTCGTGAGCAGCGCGCTCGGTGCCGGAGCAGGAGCCGGAGCCGGAGCCGGGGTCCTGCTGACAGGCGGTGGTGACGAGCTCATGTTGCTCTCTTCGTCGGTATCCATACCCGGAGTAGTGTCGCGGCGGAGGTAAGGATATGGCGCGGGCACCGGTGTGCTCATGTGCGACGCCGTAGCGGTCTCGGCGACCAAGCTCAGAGGGTGGCTGGGCTGAGCATCTGTGAAGAGCAAGTCACGCAAGGCGGAGTGCTCGAGATATGCCGGCCGGGGGAATGCAGTAGATGATAAGGAAGAGGAGGTGGATGACGAAGCGACCAGCGGTATGGGCGTGCGAGACATGCTGGTGGCGATGGTCGGCGCAGCGGTCGTGGATTGCCTTCGCACACTAGGACGGCGCGCGCGGCTAGGAGATACTTGGATGGGAGTCACAGGAGCAGGGGTACAGCCAGGTTCTGTGGTAGCCCGGATAATTCGGGGCTCGAAGACGGGTGCACTGGCGACGTGCGGAGCGGGTGGACGTCCCCAAGCAGAGGCATATCCTCCGGATAGTGTGCGCACTGGCGACGTAGAGGCAGGCATTCGACCCAAAACCGGTCGCTCCGGACTCGAGGGAACGTGAAGACGAGTACCGCTAACAAGTCGAGGGCGGGCGGGCGTCGACGCCGTGAAAGGCATGGAAATGACATCTTCAATACTGCGACCAGTGCTACCCGGTATAGGTATGCTCGCTGAGCGAGACGGTCTTGCAGCCATTGCGGGGATTAGTGCTTAGCGGACAGGGACGGGTGAATCGGAATGAGAATATAGTTGGCTAATCTTGGTGTCTTGTTTACAAGATCTGGTAAATTCCAGGAATACTCTTCGAGGTCTGTCGTTAGCCTGAAAGTATTGCGAGGGGTGGTGAGAGATGCTCTGGTGCGTAGCCTGGCGAAAGTCAGTGAAGAATTCGCCGGAGCTTCTGGGAGCGCTTTAACGACTGAAGTGATGGCTTAAGGAGGCGGCGAGGTCAGAAGTGGCTGCTGGACTGTCTGAAAGGCCGCTCTGAGGGTCTGTGGGACGTTGGTGACGATGCGGAGGAAGGTGAGATGGTAGTGGTCTGTGTGAGAACGGCGGGAGCAGCTGGTCGTCTGACCTTACCCCTCTTTCCGAACTTGTTTTACACCACCATCATCCTTGTGACCTCCCTAGCTCTCACAAACGGATTCGCCATTCATTACAACATCTAAAGCGGTCTAAAGGCTGTTCACAAAGTCTATTAGGAACCGGAGGTGCTCCGGAACGGCTGATACATCATTGCAGTTCGAAGGGAGTTTCTGCTGTCCGGGACGAGCCCGGTTGCTCCAGGTGCGTCTACTGTCAATCTATCATGAGAATGCGAAGCTATATGGAAACATCTTAGATGGAAATGCGGCCTCTACGACGAATATGCTGTGCATACCTCGTAGCGAAGATCTTCACTGCTATTGCTCGTCGCTGACATGGGATGCTGCTTGTGCAATACCGTCCATGCGGACAGTATGGACCGCGTCGTATAAGTGGCTGCCCAGCGAGCAGGAGCATTCAGTCAGCGGCATGTTCCGTATAAACGGGCCAGCTACGGGTAACCTCGGGTTAAATGCCCAGCTAGTGACAGTCGGCTATTCCGCAGGGTTGTTCAAAGCAGCACTATGCTGCCCGTTGCGTACAGCACGCTGAAGGCAGATCGTGTTCGCACAGTCTCATAACCACTATATTCATACTCCCTAGCTCAAAGCACTCTCTGCTGACATTTCGGCCTTGGTTTGGCAGCTGCTCGTTCTGGTACACTCATCTCCGTACGATCTGGACCTTGGTTGTTGGCAGGAAACCATGCTTGTTGGACTCGCGTGAGAGCTCTCACGGCTGCGCTCGTTCTCATAATGCTACCGAGAAACTGGAACGCTAGGCTCGTGGGCATTTGGCAGCATCCGAAGCTCAGAGGTGTCATCTGACAGCTTAGCGCGGAACAGATCTGCGAATATACGGTTTGCTGGACGATGACACGCTGGTCAGCAGACACACTCAATACCAGGTAAGGCCATGATTCCATAACACGCACAAGAAGCATGGTCCTGTGAGGATTAACGGTTCGCGTCCAATGTAATTGTAGCTCGTATTACGGCGCGCGCGATCTCAAATGAAGATATAGCTCACAACGTCGCGGTACCTTGTAAGGCCTCACTTATACACTCACCGCCCTCAGGATTATCGTCACGAAATGCAAGTTCTCAGCTGGCCTCTGATATGGAGGTCTCCACGAACACCCAAATTTTCGTCTCTCCATCCGGTGAGCATCAGTTTGCTCTCTTGTACGGCGAGCACTTCCCCTCATTTTGAGATTTTGTACCTGTCCTCAGCTGTAATTGAAGTAGAATCGTACCGTTATCATCTGGTAATGTTCGTAGGGCGCAAGAGGTACCGGGGAGAGCAAGGTGCAGAAAGGGCAGGACAGGTGTCGTCAGATTGTAAGTGATTGCAGACAACAGCTTTCGTGATCACAAGACTACATCTCCGTTGTATTCTCCTTTCTACCACGACGCTTCCTTAAACATGAGCACGAACGGACGTGATGCGCTACTATTGACGACACGGCAGAACGACCAAGATAGACACTCTGTTGGTCATATCAGACGATGATAAGCAATTAACGATGGGACGTACGTGACTGCGTTGTATTCGCAGACTGCTCGCTGACAGAATCATCAGCCCAGCCTAGCGACCGCGAGCGCAAAGCGGCGGCAGCGCGTGCGGATTGTCCGTCCCCTCAGTTTGTGAGATCTGCTGCCGCGGGGTCGAGATTTTGGAGGGTACAAAAGGTATGCTGTCCCCACCAGTTCGTCAGTTGAGAGCGCCATTTGACATAGCGCCAGCCTGAGATAAGGTTCGGGCCCTGGTAAACCGCTACTTGAAGAGTGATTTACATGTCTCGGGCCAGATAATTGTTCTTGGGTATGTGCCTTGACGGTATGGTCGGATGGGACCGCCAGTCATGGGGCTACCACGCCGACGATGGCTGGGTATTCCCTGACTACCGTAGCGATTATGGCCCCTACGGCCCGACGTTTGACAGGGAGTGCAGAAAACATAGCAAACAGGTTCGTGCGACCCTTGATATAACTATCTCAGCTGGAGATGTAATCGGCTGTGGCATCGATTTCAGTCAACACAAGATGTTCTATACGAAGAACGGTACCTTACTAGGTGCGTGATTCATCTCAACGCATTCGAAGCCACTTAGTACGCTGTAGGAATGGTCTCTGAGAACATTGTAGTGGACACAGACATTTGTCCCACCGTTGGTATGCGATTCGAGTCAGAGTCCAAGCCCGCCATCGGCGACAACATCCGAGTGCAAAGCGGCACCAGTTGAGTACATGTAGTGATTTGACTGGCTCGGCTTCAAGCCAGCAAGCCGGCCAAGCCAAGCCAAAGGGTACCGGCTTGAACAGGCTTTTGGCTCGGCTTGCATGTCAAGCCAGCCAAGCCAAGCCGGCAAGCCGCGGCTTTAGATAATGAACTTACTGTGTTTAGTACTGCTGTTAAATTAATCAGTGGTAATTTCCTAAAATATCACATTGTATTCTTCTGTACTGTATTCACCTTCTAATATACACCGGCCAATACATAATTAGTGAGACTCACCACGAAAAAACATAGCGAGGGCGCTAGGCTGCTGCGTAACGTTGTGAGCCTCCGTCTGAACGGCTTCACAGGGACCTGGAAGGAGCTGTTCGTTCAGGCAGCCTGGACGGGCAATGCCTGCTGACTTGGGACGGCGGTGTTCCTGGCTGCCCGACGCCCAGCCGCGGCCTCTCACCTGGGCACACTTGACCACGACCACGAGCGCGACGTGCTGCGCCGTGCGGGCGCGGCGGCGCACTGTTCTGAAACCGTACTTGTGGCAGGCAGATAGGCATCAACGCGAGCTGCCGTCGCCGATCGTGATGTTCCAAAGGACGACACCAGGACACCGCCGACAGCCACCCTCGCGGGCGCCAGACTAAAGCCAGCCACGACGAGAGAGCAAATGACTCAGGCTGCCTGAGATAATTACTCCCGTCAGTCATCAAGAGACCGCCGCGACCTTCGCGTGCTTTTGAGCGGCGAACGCCTCTATGTGGCACAATGCCGTCTACATGGTGCCCTTTTCGAGGTGCTGTGCGACGTGCACGCCGGCGGATGAACCCTCTGAGATATAGACATGGCCCGGTGGTTTATCTGGGTGCAGCCGCGGCCCAAGCCAAAGCCGAGCCACTGGCTTGTGGCTTGTGGCGGCTTGCGGCTTGGCTTGGGTTTTCGCAAGCCTTTGCCTGGCCAAGCCGAACCAAAGCCACCGGCTTCTGGGCCAAGCCGAGCCAGTCAAATCACTAACCGCGGCATGCAGAG